TTTAATGCATTAATGTTGTGAAAGTTGCAACACCATGAAAGAATTAAGAAAACTGAACCAAACTTACAGGAAATGTAAAGTGAGTTAAGACATGTAAATGGTTAGAATTACAAAGTTTACAAAGTTAAAGTTTCGATGCCACGAACCCATCAAATGGAAGGCATGTCAAACGTACGAGGTGAATCAGCTCGGAATGGAGAAAGAGATCTGGTGAAAACAAATCAGCAGAATTTTGCGTTCCCAAAAACAGTACATGGCTTTGCTGTCCTTCAAGGAGACCGTTTGGTCTTATCGGCGAAAAGCTCGACATTTGAGCAGGAGCGATGCCACTATTAGACGAGGTTGGTAGGAATGGGTGAACCATGGTGGCCGCACACAGCGTCAAGAAGGAAGCGGTAGGCCTAGAAAAACGACAGAACGTGAAGACCGAGCAATCGTCAGAGCGGCACTCACAGCCCCACATGCATCATTATCATTGATTGTACGTGCAACTAGTGCTTCACTGACCGAGAGGACCATTCATAGACGGCTAACAGAAAGAGGGCCGAGGTCACGGCGCCTCTTGCGCCGACTACCATTGACCTCTGTACAAGGTCAAGCCCGTTTGCAGTGGTGTCGGGCTCATTCGCACTGGAATGTCACTGACTGGAGTAGAATAGTCTTCAGTGATGAGTCCCGCTTTGAACTGAGCCCCGATGACCAGCGAAGGCGAGTCTGGAGACGCCCCGGACAGCGGTGTGATATCAACCGGACTGTCTTCCGACAGAGAGGCCGACAACAAGGAGTGATGGTCTGGGGTGCCATTTCATTTCATAGTAGGACCCCTTTGGTTGTCATCCGTCACAACCTTCAGCACAGCGGTACGTCGACGAAGTTCTAAGTCCCGTTGTGTTGCCCTTCATGTCACGCCACCCTGGGCTTACATTTCAGCAAGATAATGCCCGCCCCCCCACTGCACGTTTCTACTGCTTGTCTTAGTGCTTGCCGAACATTACCTTCACCAGCAAGGTCGCCGGATCTCTCTCCTATTAAGCACGTTTGGAGCATTATGGGCAGGGCCCTCCAACTAGCTCGGGATGTTGACGATCTAACGCGCCAGTTGGACAGAATTTGTCACGATATTCCTCAGAAGGACATCCGCAACCTCTATCAATCGATGCCAGGCCGAATAACTGCTTGCATAAGGGCCAGAGGTGGACAAACGTGTTACTGACTTTTTCACTTTGTGAAGCTCTATCACTTCAATGAATCATCCAATTTTTCTCAAACTGTAATCGTTTGTTTTTCTGTACATCACTTCTACTGATTTTCGTCCCATTCGGATAACTCTTTCTTTGTGTGTCTTCTTTTTTTTTTTTTTTTTTTTTTTTTTTTTGTCTAAGAGGGTATGTATGTTCCTCACACTGCGAGAAAATGGTGATATCTAGAGCCATCGAATTTTGAATAATAATAATAGTCCTGCACCCGAACATGCGCATCTGGAAGCCCGAATTCTGAATTTATTTTATTATGTTTTATTTCATATTTTGTAAATCTTAAACGCATTTTCGATAAACAAACTCAACGATTTGAAAGAGAGAGCAGTGGAAACACTGTTCGGAATAACACATTTTTATCCGCAGCGGTCGAGACTGTTACCATTCGCAAAGATATACGATACTTATCTTTCATCTTTTCTAGTTTGTTCATTCAATTTCAATCTGAATTAACAAACTACACTCTATGAAAGTAATGTGTTGCCACAGCCAGAAATAAAATACTTTTATTTTCCACACGGTAGCGTGTTTCCATTCAGTTAAGCGTCAGATTTAATGTGGAAGGTTAGTGAGTAGTAAACTAAGTGATTTGTAAACAATAAATGTAGCTCTTGTAACAGTTCTTTTTTTTTTACTTTTTCACGTGATTAATTTAAATAATGACATACTTAAATTATGCGACGTCTCATTAGAAATATTCAATATTTTTATTAAATTACGTTAGCTGGATCCATTAAAATCATTATATACTTTTTCTCTTTTGCGATAAAATTTTTAGGCAACTGGCTGCGTGAGCAGCTAGCTTTTAAAGAAATAAAATAGCAAATGCACTGCTCAACATTGAAAATGCAACACCAAAAAGGAGTGGTCAGAAATTTATGCAAATTTTAGAGTAGGCGCACGTCACAGAGTTATGCGAATGATGTGAAATGTGCAGCTCTCCGACGCACGTGAAGTAAGATATAAAAGGAAGGAACGTGCAGAATGGGCAATATTCGTGTCGTTATTTCTGATTAAGCCGAATAAAGCTGATTTTTGTCCCGGAGGATACGTGTAATAGGAGAGAATGCCAGGCCGCCGTCAATGAAGGCACTTCCAGCAGATAGACGATTTTATGAGGGGTATGGTGATCGGACTGAGAAGGACGGATTGGTCCTTACGTCAAATTCCGCATGGATGTGAACACGATACATCGGCTATGGCAAACATGGTTGGGACAAGGAAATGTGGGAAGAGGGAGGGTTGCAGGTGCAGCCAGAATGAGGTCAGCACGCGTGGATCGACGCATCCGCCGACAAGCTGTAGCGGTCCCGCAAGTCACTTGTACCACAATTCTGCAGCATGTGCAAGATACTCTGGATATTCCCGTGTCGACCAGAACCATTTCCCGTCGATTGGTTGAACGTGGCCTGCACTCACGGCGTCCGTTAACAAGACTGCCATTGACCCCACATCATAGAAGCCAATGTTTAGAATGGTGCCGAACTGGAGCGATGTGGATGACAGAATGGCGAAACGTCGTATTCTCAGATGAGTTACGCTTCTGTTTATCCAGTGACAATCTCCGCATACGTGTGTCGCGTCGACGTGGAGACAGATCTAATCCTCCAGTAACTGTGGAACGCCCCCACCCGCGCGACAACGTGGCATAAAGGTTTGGGGCGCTATTGCCCACGATTCCAGGTCACCTCTAGTTCGTATTCAGGGCCCTATGACGGCCCAACGATACTTGGATAATGTACTGCGGCCGGTGGCAATCCCCTACCTTCAGGGGCTGCCTAATGCAATTTTTCAGAAGGATAACGCCAGACCACACCACAGTGCTCGCCTCTGCCAACATGCTCTGCAAGGTATACAGATGCTTCCCTGGCTACCGTACTCTCCTGACCTGTCACCAATGGAACGTGTATGCGATGTGATTGGACGCCGTTTGCAGACTCTGCCCCTGCCTCGTTCAGAAGACGAACTGTGGCAAATGGTTGAAAGGGAATGGAGAGCCATCCCTCAGGACACCACCCCCACTCTGATTAACTCTATGCCTAGACGTGTTTCTTCGTGCATCGCTGTCCGCGATGGTCCTACGCATAACAATCTGTATATTTTATATTGTTTATGTCTGCCCACCCCGAGATGTAATTACTCCTGCTATGTACATCGTTTTATGCCACAATAGTAACACTATAAATATGTACATGTTGTATTAATTTTTCAACTGTAACATTGCAATCTCTTCTCATATAGTAGTTGCACCATATATTAATTTACACGTTATTTATTAGCAGTTGACTGTATCGCATGTCTTATACGTATGACTGTACATTCCATTACTGCGCTTTGCTCTATGTATTACATCCGCATTTCTATATTGAACTAGTGTACTATTTTTAGTTTATATGTCATATAATATGTGCATGCATTTTTAGTATGCGTATGTATATGTACCTCTAATATAGCATCACTTGTGAAGGTAGTGTGGACGTTCAACAATCTGTAAATATTACATATGTTATATAGTTTATATCCTATTTTTCTAGATGTAATTACTTCTGCAATGTACATCGAACCATGCTTTATTTGTAATACTGTTCCCTAAATAATGCTGTTCCCTAAATAATGGTGGGCGTGGTGCTGTGACAGTGCCCACGACCCCCGTCACTTATCAGTTATCCTACTGAGCCGAAGCCGTTTTCGCACTGTATTTTGACTATCATTTTGAAATAAAGATCAGTTATTGCTGCTTGGTGTCTCTGTCTTTTTTTCAAATTTCATCCCTTTCTGATCACTCATTCTTAGTGTTGCATTTTCAATGCCGAGCAGTGTATAAAAATATATAGAGAAACCTCTAACTGTCACGAATTCTAAAGATATGCTGTTTTTAAATAGCTTGTGATTTTGCTATTGAATTAAATTTTATGGAAAGGAAGTGCGAAGAACGTGATATTTTATAAATAAAATTAATATTTTGTATATTAACTTGAATAATGAAAAGGCAAAAATAAATATTTGTTAGCCATCTTACTAAGAAAACTGAATAATGTCATGATAAACTGAGAAAAGGCTGAAAAAATATAAAACTGTATGTCAACCCTGCATCGAGAAATTTAAATATATGCTGCTATGCAGCTTTTAAACAATTTGCAATTTTGTTGTTGAGCTGTATGTAGTTGAGCTGTATGAGCTGTTGAGTAGGAATGAGTGAAAGAGCAGACCAGTAGACTGCGAGCTCAGCATGAGAGTAAGAAACCTTAAAAAATCCTTTTTAGCCGACTGTTGAAATCTGAAACCTTTCAGATCTTTTTTTAAATTAATTTTTATATTGTTATTAAATAAGTTTTTGATAAAATATATGTTTGATTAAATATATCTAAGAAACCTATGCTATCCATTAAATCAAATTAGATATCATATTTAATTGTATAGAATGAACAAAAAGAATTATACCGTCATATATATGAAACGTGGATATGCATTTAATGCAAAACGTTATTATAAAATGATGTAATAAAAATGAAAACAAAAACTGTTATTGTAAATATTTCTGATACAGTTCTTAAATAAAAATATCGCCGAATAGATCTAAGCGAAGTATTTCCTTGAAGTATCGACCTCGCGAAGTATTTCCTTGAAGACTATGTGTAATTTGTCTCTTATTATTCCCATCACAAGGTTACTCATATTTGAAATATAAATTGTCACTTAAAACAATTTGTTTCCAGTCTGCACCTGTCAGTACATCTGCGCCCCAGAAGGTGGTCATTTGATGCCTTTTGTACTTAGGAAAGGATACTCTTAATTTGGAATAGAATGATTTTGTTTTCGACTTTGTTATTTTTTTGTGCTTTACAATTCTCAACTGCAATTATCCCATTGAATTTTTCTCAGCAGCTAACGGATGCAGAAGTGCTTGAAAAATGGAATAAAATTGATAAAGAAATAAACAGGTTACTTCAGTCAGCTGTAAAATCTATCATGCCTTATGTTGCTGGCAGCGAAATACAGTTGTCATCCAAATGCATGAATGATGGCTTGAGGGTTTTGCTGGGTCTTCGCAAGGCCCAACCATGGGCTCTTAGATGTAAGTGTATATTTAATAATTTTCGCTAAATATAATATTTGGACTAACTTGAATGATGTAGAGGAAATATATAAGAAATAACATACCACCAGAAATCGGGCGGTAAAACCACTGAACCACAGGGTATTTAGCCCTGGTAATCTCTGCAAATGGATTAACGGCTGCTACTGAGTTGTCTTTGAGATGCTGTAAAGTCTTTCGCGAGTGTAACTTGAATGAAAACCAGTTTCTCTGAAAACGTTTTCCACGAAGGCACGTTCCCCATATGCAGTAGTTTTAAATATTTTCCAATAATCTAAATAATTCTAATAACATTTCTACAAGAAGTAATTAAATAATAAGAACAAGAAGTGGATAATTTAAATATATATAGCTTTTATGAAAATTAAAAATGTAATTATAAGCTGTATTATATTGTAAAATATTATTAAATTTATGAGATGATAGTTCGCTGGCATAGTTTTAAGAAAAGTAAAATATTAATAACAAAAACCTGGGAGACAAAAATAAATGTTTGATGTAAAAAGCAGTAAATTATTCATTAAAATTACAGAAATTTTATTATAAAATTGAAAGATGTTTTTTCAAAAACTAAAATGAAAATACTAAATGAAGTTTCAGGGGGGGGGAACATTACTCTTTTTCTGTAGCAGAAACGCGTTACTTCTAATGAAGAAGACAGGCCATGTTTGTTTCAAAATTCGTCCTTCTATTTTCTCTATTAAAATCAAAGGAATCTGAGAGTGAAAATAAATTTGTGTGAAGGATGAGTATATCATTTAGTTTAAAGTATAATGTATCCCTTGAAATCACGCTTCGCAAGGAAAATGGATTATATTTAGGTCTAAATGTCTTTTGGATAAGGTCTATGAAAATGAACTTATATTAAGAAACAAAATCTTTAAACGATATGTACATTTTTAATGTAAACAAGAATTTGAGGAAAGTTTTGTAACAGACTTATAGAGATGAATATTACTTTAAAATTGATGAGAAATATAATCAATCTGATGTCTATAAATTTTAATTTTCTCTTGCATTATTTCATTTTAAATTCAAATTAAAAACGCATATAATGTTATTATTCATATTTAATAACAATTCGGATTCTTTGGCTTATTAAGGATAATTAGTTTTTGCAAAATAATACAAAAGCTGTTTGAAAATACCTGATGTAGTTTTAAGTTTAAATACTGCATTAGAAAGGAAAACAAACCTATTCTTGAGGTAAATAAATCATAATGTAGACAGTTGAAAAATGTTTCGGATAAAAATGATCGAAATTGTATATATATATATATATATAATAGAAAATGCATAAATAAATTAACATTTTAAAATTCCATGTTCATTCGATTTTTATTTGTTTCTTTACTTGATTTCCTATGCATCTTGATTTTTATTTCATTGTTTCACATATTTTTCATTTATTCGTATTTTTAGTTTAATTATTATTCTCTAAGAACATTATATTTATTTTTAAATTAATTGTAGTTAATTCTCTATCCGCTCATCGGGCAGTTATATCATGATTCTGAACTTCTTTTAGATTTAAATTTGATTTTATAAAACTGAATGGAAAATTTAAAATTGGAACTAAGATTTTGTTCAGAAATTTGAAATGACGAAACGCGGTCGTAACGAATTGTTGGTGGTTGTATGGAGAGGTTCAAGTTCACCTTGATGAGTTGGAATGTTTCAATGGAATCAACAAAAACTCTCTTGTTTTATTCTTTTGCTATTCTTTTGCTATTTAACTATGAATTCCAGTTTATTTATTTACAATTCCAAATACTAATTTCCACAATAGTACACATTTACTACCTAACTTTCATTTCATAGGAGATAATTTTCATTTGTATATTATCCATTAAATTAAGTTTTATCTTTGCAGCAATATCACAGAATTTTACTTTTTAAGTGCTTTTTAAATAAATTTTAAAATTTGTTAAAGTTTTTCTCGTTTTTTTCCTTGCAAATTATATATGTATTACAAATTATACATTATATATATATATATATATATTTACAAATTATGTATTTTATATAAATATATATACATATATAAATAAGAATGTCTATTTGCGTGTTTGTGTGTTCGCGATTCATTCACTACTATAGCTATCGTCACCAAACTTACTATAATTCTTTATTGGGGATGGGAAAGGTCGACGTCCACTTCTGCTATAAAAAAAATGCTAAAACCAGAGATATAAATTAAAAACTCTGAAAACACTAATTTTTCGCGCTCGTTTTTCCGAGTGGCAACAGTCTCGCACGCTGGAGATAAAAGTCTGCTTTATTTCGAGAAGTGTTGCCCCTGCTCGCTTTTAGATAGTGGAGTTTTTTTATCAAAAATTTCGAAGTTTTACAATGAAATAAAAATAGTATTGCCAAACATTAAATACATTATTCCCGATTCAAAAAATTCGAGGAAAGCCATTTCAACTGCTCCCAATCTTCGTACGACTTTAATCAAACGAGATATTAATTAAAATCTCTGAAACCACTAATTTTCGCACTCATTTATCCGAGTGGCAACAGTCTCACGCGTTGGAGATAAAAATGCTTTATTTGGAAACGTGTTGTTAGTGCTTGCTTTCAAATCCTAGAGTTTATTGATAAAAAAATTTGTACGTTTTACAAAATCTCTCTATATAAAGAAGAATGTCTGTTTGCTAGTTCACGTTATTGATTTCTGATCAATTAGGATCAATCTTTTGCCACATTTAATCTACTAAAATTAAATTTAGTTGAAGTATTGGATGAAACTTGAGCTTTTACGACCATTTAATTATAAAGACGAAAATCATTAAAAACTGGGTGCCATTGTTGCTGATATGATGAGAGAGAATTAGTTAATTTTTTTCTATCAATATTTTTTATGTGGCTTCCATATCGCATCAGACTGAAAAATGTAGGACTATGAAAATGTAGGACTATATATATATACATGCATAAAATTGAAACAATTACGTGCACGCACAAGTTTTTTATAATTTCCGAATTTCTGAAACTAGACCATGTGCAGTAGTTACGTGTTAAAACTAAAATTTAAAAATGTAATCGTAAGTAAAGTTTATCTAGAAATTTCAGACATTCGAAAATTCAGTGTTTATGTCTTAATCTTTAATTTAGAAACTGCCAAGACATTCTTTGATAAAAAAGAAGTTTTTTTTTTCCTTTTAACATAGTTAACAAAAGAAATAAAAAATTACATTACATTGTTAAAGTATGAGAACAAAAATATATGCAGCAACCAAAATACAGAAAGCGTAGTATATCTGTGAACATACTTTTTATTGTACTAATATTAACCTAATTTTTTATGTCATTACTCGTCAAAATCGCAAATTACGTATAATAATTCGGTTTTAGTGATAATCGCGATTTGATTATAGCTGGATTTATTTCCAAAAATTATAGTCATTGGTATCCTTTAAATTATTTTACTGTTTAACTAAAGAAAAGTCTTCTTCACAAATCGCTTAACGTAGTTTATTTATTTATATTTACATAGAAAGTAAAGTCAACTAATAATTTTCTGGGCTATTACTGGGGAGAATTAACACTAAATTCCTCTTAATCCGAGGATAGTTGAAGGTCAGAAGCAAAACGAATGTAATAGTAAAAAGTGTTTACAATTTACCTGCATTTACCAGTATTTTCAAGTTGTGTAATGTTTAAGTCCTTACTAAAAAATACAATTTTTATAAATTACGGAAGAATAAACATCATTCAGATTCAGGAAACTAGCATATATATGGTCTTAAAGAAAAATATTTTTCAGTGAATTTCAGCAATGTCATTGAGTTCAAGCTCTTATACAAATGGTGATTAGAACTGCTTATTTTTCCTTGCACGATTTTTGCGTTAGGAAAGAATAACGCAAATTAAAAGATAAAATCAACTTTCAATACTCAGATATCATCTTTTATCTCTGTTATCTCGTGAACGTTTCTTTTCCTTTCCATATCTGAAGTAAGCAGATTCAGTTTTTAAGCTCCTATTTTTATAATTTTTCCTCTTTTCCGCTGTAAGCAAACTTGACTTTTTCAATCTACCGCTCATCAATCACCGTTAATTGAGAGTTGACTGTATTAGTTTGTATTAGTTAGCTGTATTAAAACGTGTTTGAGTTATTGCAAAATGATGCAGAATATGAAAGAAATTGCTAAAACAATCTGAGTATTTCTCTGCTTTTAGTTAGTGTGCAATATTCCATGCTCGTGATGTACAATAGTCCATGCTTGTGTTCATTAATAAAAACATGAAAAGTACGAATACAGAAACTGTTCACACACTCTCTAAATCATTTTGCTGGGGTATAAAAAATCATCTGCTTGGAAAATTTTTAACTGCAACTACATTTTTGAAAGTATAAATTATCCGCCTGCTTAATTGATAGTTTTGCTTCCACGCAAAATGGCGCTTTTGGAAGAAGTAACGGATGGAAGGCTATGTTTGTACACTTTCCGAGGAAACTTATTCGCATCTAGTTATAAAAAAATGCTGTGAAAGCCATGGCATTTCGATTTCTGAAGCTATAATAAATAATATTGTCAACAAGAGAGGAAACCAAGTTTGGCTTCATGTGAAAAAATATATGCAAATACATATCCAAGAAAAAACGGAATGTTTCGAATATTGCAAAGGTAATAGCTTTAATATTAAAAGAAAATCCTCCAAGTAAAAGGACAGTTGCAATATCATTAAAATGCTCACCTGTAAAGAAGGGGATTAATGTTGATTTGAATCGTAAAAAGGTGCAAAAACATAATGTGAATCGTATTTCTCCACGGCATATCGCCGAAAGCAGAATGCATTGCAGAATAATTTAGGAAAAACACTTATCCGGATAAAAGCAGAAAACTGTCGTCACAAAAGATGAATCTTGGGTGTATTTAAATGACTGAAATAAAAAAATAATAATTTATTATCATCAAAGAGCAAAAAAAATTCTTAAAGCACGGTTTGAAAAATTTAAAAAACGTTTTCCA